GGCTTCCTGAGGGCCTCCGGAGCCCGGGGAGGTCATTTTCACCCTCCCAGAGGCCCGAGGGAAGCCTCCGGACTCTGGGGAAGGTAAATAGCGGCCCTCCCGGAAGTTCTGGTAGGCCACGCCCACCATGGCACACCCACCCAGCAACCAGGCAGAGAACCGGTTGTTGGGATTTTCGAATCCCATCCCTGGGTGAAAATGGGTGTTGGTTTCGGTCTTGTAGTAGTAGGGATGGAACCCCAGGGGAGATTAATAATAGAAATGGAAGGAGGCTTGTGACAGAATGTCTGTAAGCTACAGATAATCTTTGATTTACAAACATTCATTTAATAACCATTCGAAGGTATGCTGAACCCCCACCCCAAAAGCTACTTAACAACCCATTTTTGAAGTTACAACGGCCGCTCACCCACAATTACTTGCAGTCACATGATCATATTTTGGGCAGTGGACACCTGATTCACCTGTTTGTAGGGTCCCACAGTCATGTGACCACAACTTATGGCACCTTTTTGTCGGTTTCCAGCGTTTACTTCCATTTTCTGGCAAAAAATACCCATGGTGGGGGGAAAAGGGATTTGTAACAGCTGTGGCGTTCACTTAAGCGACCATTGCAAAATAAAATAAAATAGAAAAATCAGGTCCGGTTACTTGATGCTTTGACTTATGACTGCAATGATTTGCAACCATAATTGAGGGCTCAGTTATGGCCATACGTTGAGGACTAGCTGTAGAGTTTTGGGGCCAGGGATGTTTGCCATTGCTAAAAGTATGGGTTTGCTCTGCTATTTTGGCTGGTGGAGAGATAGGGACTAAGAGAGGAGAATGTTTGATGCTCAGGGTTGAACTATGAAAAACTTGGTTGCTTTCTTTCAGACGTTTCATTACCCAACTAGGTAACATCATCAGTGCTAGAAAGGAGTGGGATTACTTTCTGTTGATATGAGAGCATCCTGTTGTATGGCATGACTGTCTGGTTTGGAATCATCCCTGCTTCAGACTGGAAGGCGAGGGAGGGAGTGGTGAGGACAGCAGAAAATATTATTGGCAGTTCACTCCCTTCTAGCCAGGACGTGGCACATAAGTGATGCTTGAGCAGGGTCCGTGGGATTGTCTGGGATGCTACACATCCTCTCCACGACCTGTTTTCCTTGTTACCTTCTGGGAGGATGGGGCTTTGTGGTACCCGAAGCAGAACATCCAGATTCGGTCACAGTTTTGTTCCATGTAGCATCAATCTTGTGAACTCTCAACTTTCCCCTTTCTGCTACGTATTCAAAGTGGACAGTGATTAACATTTACATGTATTGATATG